AATGATGGCCTAATCAATTTCAAGATATTTCTTCACATCCCTTGTCAGCATGCCCTTATCCACCATGATTTCATCATTAGGTTCAGACTTCCCAATAACATTTTCTTTATTAAAAAATGCTTTATCAGTAGTTCAACCTCCATATCCTTATTAATGCCAACAGTAATCAGTCCTAATGGAGTGGTATTGCAATAAGAATTTGACTGAGTTTCTGTAATGTGTCTGTACAACAGGAGCACTGAGGAACATATCTTTCTAGATTTCTGTCTTCAGTCTTTTGTACTTGCTGCATGTTTTGGGAAAACAGTGAACAATCTCTTGGACACAAAAACATATTGGAAAACTTCAAAATTTATCAATATTCACTTGATTGCACAATGCTAAATTTGTTTGTTTTGTTTTTCACCTCCGCCATTTTCATTTTGCCGTTCGACAAAAGACGATGGGGAAACAGTGACGTCAGGCCAGGTCAATATGAGGCAACCTTATAGAGTTGAATAGCCTTGGTTACAAAGGAACTTCTGACAGTGACACTGACAGTTCTGACTGTGCTGAAGTTGGTCACGACCAACACGCAACACGACATCAATGCACAATGGTGCCAATCTCAGATGTGCCAATCGTCTAATCATCACAGATATTCACGCGCGGGAAATTCAAATATTAAATAATTCCTTGTGCAAAAATGACGGGATATGTTCATATTTTGTTTTTGTAGCATAAAAATATGTCACACAATGAACAACTGAAATTTTTTTAAGAAATATTTTCGACAATAAAACAATAACTATTCCAGTAGAATATTTGAACATATTAACATCAGAACAAGAAGAAAGACAGGCTGTAGTTTAGATCATGGAAAATATGTTGCAAATTATGCTCCTGTTCATTAATTAATTATCAGTGCTTTGATTGTTGAAATGAGTTTTCAAAACAAAAAATTTTGGTACACCAATCATCCAATGTCCGAAAGATCAATCCGTTAAACATATAATCATATCATGCTTTTTTTTTCATTTTGGACCCACTGTTCGAAAGCCTCATCATTACATTCGCCATAGATGAAAACTACCGATATGGAATATCTCCGAAATTATGAATTTAAATGAGTAAAGAAAGTTATATAGGATCGAATCATAACAATTGAGAAAAAATGGGATTTCAATGATGGATAAAATGAGATTTTTCAGTGTTTATTCATATGTAGATAGATATACTTTCCATTTTTCTGCGCTCCTTTCGAACGTCAAAAAAATTTCCTTTTGTGCGCTCCAAGAAAAAAAAATATTATCGTGAATAAATCGGTCAACCTCCAATATTAATGGCTCAATCACTACTGTATAATTCATTCCAGAGGTATGATTCATGAATTTTATTCAGAATCATGAGAGGAATTCAAAAATGTTGTAAAATATACGGGGGGTGTACTATTGAAAATAACAAATATGACGTCACTTCCGGAGCACCGAAATAATTCAAAATCACGAAAATATTCTACTTTCGTTACTTTTCATCCTCCATATATTATGTAGAATAGAAGGGTGAGTCAGTTTTTTGTAGCAGGAAATTATTTTTGGCATTCATATTGAAACCCATACAGTTTTATAAAAAACAAAAAAAAGGGGAAAAAAGTATCCAAACTGAAGGTATAATCTAAATTGATGATTCATAGAAATTGGAGGCGGTACGCAAAATAGTTCGAGAGGGGTTAACTCGGGTACGACCCTCAAAAGTGTATCATCCTGTAAGTACTCAAGACCGCTCGAAAGCCCCAAATAGTGCGTTTACATTATTCCATTATTTTGGAAATTATAGGAGGAAATTGGAAAAACACAAAAAAAACTCAAACTTTGAAACCCTGTTTATCGGAAACGAAGTTTCCACGCATATATGTTTTTATAGAATTTTCATCTTGAAAAAATGTCTTCTCTCAGCTGTAGAGTCCTGCTACAAAAATCTGACTCACCCTGTATGCATAGGAGCTCTTTTTCCGATATACAGGGGATGTTATATTTGTATTTTTTGTGCTTTTCAAGTTTTGCCATTGAGTTCCATTAAAACACACAAAAAAACCTAAAGATGAAAAATGTCGATTTTGTAATCATTTCCGGCGCTAGATCCCAAAGTGTGGTACATTGATGAAATCAGCTCTTCAGTGAGAATCTAAAAATGGAATGAAATGAAGGGTGTAGTGTTCCATTTGAAATATCAAAGTTGCTGATACTTTCTAGTAGGAGTGGAAACGCCGCATCGTCTAAAATATTTTAGATCATGTCAAATTATTCATACCCTTAAATTTACAGATTCATATCTACGACGGCGTGTTAGCGCCACAATAACCTATTAATTTTTTTATCAGAATCTCAAAATTTTGAGATTTTTTCTAAAAATTTTGAGATTTTTTCTCAAAATAATCCACATTATGGATGCGTGTATTCAGTTACAATACTGCATTGTCAATTATAGAGTTGAAAGTAGGTAGATATCAGAAGTGTGAAGTGCATGATATATATAGGTGCACTATATAAATTGAAACAACAAAGAAAACGAGAGCGGTCATAGATCTGATTCTTCGTTTTCCTACTGGATTTGAAATGGACATCCATGAGATATCCATTGAAGGATTTGAAATGGATATCTCATGGGTATCCATGAGATATTCACAGCAATCACGAATGAGTTCCATCCGCAAAAGATTGTTTTTCATAGTGTCAATTTCTCTTTTTTGTGTCCGAACATGGATTGAACCTTCTGGAAATAGAACTGATTCTTCGTTTTCCTACTGGATTTGAAATGGACATCCATGAGATATCCATTGAAGGATTTGAAATGGATATCCTTCAGTAGATATCTTATGGATATCCATAAGATATTCACAGCAACAGCTGATGGAAGTGATGGATGTAATTGTCCAGAAACGTCAATTTCTTTATTGAGAAAAGAAAGAAGCTCGCATGATCATTCGTATAAAATTTCCTTCTATACAATCCCAGAGATTTCAATCGTCTTTGTAATGTTCTTCTGTTGATGTCGTTGTTATGTACTAACTGCAAACATTGTAATATTTCATGGTAATTCAAACCAAGGAAGAAATATCTCTTTATTAGTTCATTGGTATATATTAGTGTTCTCCATTTAACACATAAATATGTCTACTAGGTGAGGTGAGGAACTTTCGCAAAGCACAACCACTTTATAACTGAATGCAAACATACACAATGTTGAGAAAAAAATCTCAAAATTTTGAGATTCTGATAAAAAATTAATAGGTTATTGTGGCGCCATACGCCGTCGTACATATCTATTGCTTGGTTTGCCAGAAGTGTATAATTAACGCTCATCGTGAAAAACCCTGTATGTATAACAGATACACATAATATACAGGGTGTTCCTTAAAGACAGGGTGAGAGGGTGATTCTTTGACTCATTTTAAGAAGAAAACTTCATATGAACGTATGTCCTAAAAGTCTCAACTTTCGAGATGCATGGTGATGAAGTTTTGAAAAATATTCAGTTTTCTGATAATAACTGAGAAAATATTGCATACATCTTGATGTATTTAGGTACACGTCTTTTATGCATCAAGGTGCATTTATTGATGTACAAAAATTTCCATTTTCTCTACCAGTGGCACCGTTACGGGAATATTAATGTTTATATTTTACTTGAAAGTGAGCAACGACAAAAAATTTCAAATTTCATACAATGCCATAAAAGGCTATTCGATTTTGTACACAAGAAAACCTCCTGTTGATACTCAATAGAACGCTTCGTTTTCGAGAAAAAACGGAAAATCGAGACCAGACTTCAAATTTTGATGTCTGATAAGTGGTTCTGAACCACTATGAATACTGGTAGGTCCCGCTCTTCCTGACCTCGCACTAGTTTAGACTTCTGGGTAGTTGATTCCCAACACAGAAGTTGCGATATACTTACGAATCGATAATATAAAAGAAAAAATAGGACTAATAATTTCGTGAGTAAAAAGTCAAGTTCAATGCCATATACATATATTATATGTACATCGATTATCTACATGAGAATTTCATAATTTTGATCATGTAGGTATACAGAAACCCAATAATAACAATGTTTGCCCCAAATCAAAAATAAATTCAATTATCTATTCCATCCTTTATACAGTAGTAAATATGTAACTGTCAAATTGATCGGAAGATGGTGCTGCTTACATATAAAGATCGGAAAATGTTCCAGAGTTAATCAAATACTCTGAGATAGAATTATGATTTGAACATTGAAATGGAACTCTAGCGAATTACCGTTGTGATATTATTTGGGAATCACATCTCATAACATATCAATATTGATGGTCGAAGAAATAATGAAAAAGCATACAAAGGAATGCAACCAAGCATTCAATATGCAGATATATTTCATATCAACAAATCAACATTCAACAGAATGTCGCATTGTGATACAAATAATACTTCCTGATGTGATGTCCTGACAACTCATTGGCGATGTATGTTGTTGCGGACATTTAGCAATCGCCAATAAGTACTGGAGCACCTTTTTTGAATTCACAATACGAAGTCGCACTTCAACAATGATATAATTCCCTACAACTTCCCTGCAACCAACACTGGTTAACTGGGGAGTACTCCATTCAGGACATCCATTACTGGATAGCCACAGTATGTAAAATTTTGAAATTTGTATACCAATTCACTCACATAGCAGACTGAATTTTGCCATCACGAAAAGCTATACAGGGTGGTCAAAAAAATAATCTTTGCATATTTTCAACATTGACACCCTCTGTATCTCAAAAGTTAGGACGTTCACGACATACGTTCATGTGAAGTTGAAATGGGTCGAAGAAACGGCTCCTTGAATATTAGCATACCATTAAGGAACCCCCTGTATAGTTAAGAAGAAGAGCAGAGAAAGATTTAGAGTAGGTACCTATACCATTGGTACTTTCGCTCCATTTTTCGCCCCCTTCTAAACCATTTCTTCTCGTGGGTACTATAAAAGCGCAACGCCTGCATTCTAATTTGTTATACTTATCAGTTCTTCCAGGGTTCTTAGTGTTGTTATTGTTGTTACAGTTATTTCATCATCAAATAATGTATCAGGTAATACAGAGTCTCCCTTATTATTTATCAACCGTTTTTGTTGAATATTATGCGCTTCTGAAAATATCAATTGCATTGCAATATTTTCGAAATGCCATTGAAAGATAGCTCGTGACTTGTGTTTTAAAATTGTTGGACTTTCTGATTCTGAATTTTCAGTCATATACCTACGTTAAGGTATTGTTGGTATTTCTGAACTCCATATATTTTTTGGAACAGTGAATCGATTTTCTAAAACTAAGCAGCACTGTATTGTAATTGAACGCTCTTTTCAATGAGGTAGGTATCTTTCGACCCCTATTCCCGTTTGAAGAAATTTTGGGATTGATACCTCCACTCAAGGGGTTGGAAGTTTTGCTATGCTTGCTGCGAAACAAACCATCAAATTGACGTGTTCTTAAATATTGTCAAAATAGTAATTTTCCTAACAAGAGTTCTAACAAGCAGTCGAGTGCGGGAAAGACACTTTTCGCATGAGTTAGGAACAATGTTTTTTCTACAAGCGTAGGAAATTGATTGATTGATATATCTAGACATTTCTAGGAAATGAGCCAAAAATACTTCTCGTGTTCTCACTTTTTTACTATTGCACCATTCAATAAATCCCGTGTAGTGCTTCTCAAACCTTTTTTAAGACTTCGTTGGCAATCACTCATCTGTATCGCATCTGCAGCTGGAAGTTTTTCATCGCAATTCCACTGAATCGAAAATGACAGTATCGCTCTGTCAGTCACTCTGAGAATTACACTAACTAATTTCCACATCAGATCAATCAATGGCTATGGGGGATTTATTTAACAATTTATTATCATTATTATGTTTAAATTTTTCTCCATTTTCACAATAAATAGTGCAATTTGATGGATGATTTTGTACAATAACTCACTAAATACTTTAACAAAAAACCTAGAATTTTGATATTGTGTCACCCATATTGCAAGAATATTATATAAATATTTTTCCCGCACTAGTGTGGGAAAAAAATTCCCGTACTAGTGTGGGAAAACTTTTCCCGCACTACTGCGAGAAAATGACACTTCCCAAACTAAATTGCGTGTGGGTATAGGGTGAATCACGCACGCTTGTAGAAAAAGTTCTTTCCCAGACTGATGTACCTAATGCACTGTGGTACGTTTTCGATGGGCTACCCTGTACAACTAATCCATTTTTATTCTAGTTCGTACTGTTCGCATCCTTGGCTGCTCTTGGGCAATGTCTACCATCTTTAATTGATACAGGTAAGCTGAAAACCTAGTAAAGATTTTTTATTCATTTGAAGCATATTTCTAAAGGGAGTTGATTGTGGTCAATAATTTAATTTGATGGGTATCAGGTAAGGTTGAAATAATTGTCATTTAATATAGAGTGAGGACGTAAAAATTCCTCCCCCATCTTTAAATTTTGAATGGGACAAAGCTAGCGAGGTCGGGTAAAATTCAGGTAAAAAGGTACCTCTTTTTCTACTTTTCGGCATGAAAATGGTTGTGGTCACGTGGCCTATAGTGTCAAGTGGACACGATCAAATTTTTTTCGAATGTAAAGAGGGGTCACGTTATACTTTGTTGTGAATGCCCATCAATTCTCTATATCCAAAACCCAACCGCTTCGTTGGAGCAAATATTAATATTAATTAATAAAAAATCTAACTAACTTTTAATTGCAACAAAATTTCGAGTAACAATTGTATCAAGTGCTCAAATATGCTCGAAATGTTCACCGTTCACTTATTGACACGAAAAAAATCGGTCTTGGGATTCAATCCGAACGTTATTTACTGTTTCGGAGGTAAATTTCAAACGCTTTTCATTTTGAAACGACTTGGCCAATTTTCACAAACGAATGAACGGTATTGGATAGATAATCATAAGACCTTCAAAACAAGGTACCACGTGACCCCTCTTTACATTTGAAAAAAAAAAAGTTGAAGGTGCCCACTTGACAGTAGGCCACATGATCACAACCATTTTCATTCCTAAAAGTAGTAAAAAAGGTACCTTTTGACTTGAATTCTATTCGCTCTCGCTATCTTGTTTCGTTCAAAAGTTAAAGGTGGGGGAGAGCTTTTTACGTCCTCACTGTATAGGTGATGTTTGATAACGTTAATTAACATTAGCTAACGTATCAAATTTGTTTGATGTACATGCATAAAAAAATGGTAGGTAACCTATTTTAGTCCACTCAACTGAGACCAAGAGTAGAAAAGTAACAGAAAAACTATACTAAATCAAAATCTGAATGTAGGTAAACTATACCTACGTATACCCTATTATTATTTCATCATTTCGAAAACAATATTTTTTGAAGATATCGCAATTATTTGATTTCATCAACGAAATTACTCTGTACCAGTGGAAATGCATCTGCATTTCACGCCAATGACCTTTCAATCTCCACTTAAAAATATATCAAATGAAAGTGAAAGTACGCACCCAATTGAGCGAAATAATCTTTTTGCTATTATACTTTCTTATTCGCTATCATATAATCTAAATGGAATATGAGTTATAGTTACCTCTACCGATATGAAAGCATTATAAAACATTGTACAGTCGTCTTCAGAGATCATGTCGCGGTTGGACGGTGTCAGCGCTCTTATTGCAGGAGTTATTAAGAATGCTATCATTGTCCATGTGCGACATGTTTTCTGAAGATGACTGTACATGTACACCCATTCTCGAATTACTAAAGAGGGATATTCTAAAAATTATTCTCGGTTTTTTTAATTATCTGTTTTATTTCATCACATGAAGAAGATCGTTTTTAATAACTCTGGACAAAAAAATTAATTAATTCGATGTATCTTTTATTTGTGAAACATTAATTCTTCTTGTTGATTGCGATATTCATACCTAGTTGCAATTTTCAAGAAAATTTATTTCATTTCATTTTGAAAAATGTAATGAGAAAAATTACTTTTATACTTTTATATTCTCTAAATGCGCTCTCTCTTGGCTATTCTTTTGTGAATTGTTCCTGATGGAGAATTTCTAACGAGATTCCAACAGAGCAAGCATCCGTAAGCATCCCAGTTTCCTTGGTACCTTTTATCTATTGGAACACTCTTTATATCCTAATCTAATCTTATCGGATTTTATTTTATGTAGAAGACGCTATGCACAATCATATTGCATTGTTTTCAAAACTCTCTCAAAACATGAAATTCCAACTTTGTCCGCACTTCTCATCAAAGCACCCTCGTATCTGAAGTACCTATTCTGAAATATATCTACAGGGTGTTGCGAAATTCGACCGACAACGCTTGACAGGTCACTGAGATAGGGACATACGGTCTTCAAGTGTTCTCGAGATACAGGGCGTTGAAGTTAAGAAATTAAAATAGTTTTTTCGCAATATCTAGAAAAATTGAATATAATGCATTTAAATTCGGTATATGGTTTCATCTTTCAATGGTTCATTTTTTGACCAGAAAGACATTCCGAGAATTTTATCCAGAGGTGCGCTACAGGGGGTTGTGATAACTTTTCCTCCCATATTTTCTACGCCACTGATATAGGAGCGAGAGAGATACGGGGTAACTTCCATTTTGTCACAAGAATGTTTCTTTCAATTGAGACATAGGGTAGCAAGGATTTCATTCAGGATATTGGGCAATAGGGCATTTTTTTGAAATGGTGCAACAAATTCTGTTCATATGCCAAAGGTATATTCTAAATATAATGGAATAAATCTGCGTAGCGGAAAAAAGTGCAATGAGACCAAATATCTCAGGGTGCTCTTAGGGATTCTTTAGGCTGGTTTTGGAAAAATATTGGACCAGATGGATGCTTTAGTTGGTATACTTTGATTATAACTTCCACCATGCAACTTTCATCTACAACTATCAAATGACCAAGCCAAAAAACAATAAAATCATTGTTTTAAATGAAACCAGGCTCTTTTGGCATTTGTTAGCGCCGTATTAAAATCTCGAATGCTCGTCCTCGCGGAATCAGTTTTCAGACAAATGCCAGAACCGTTCACAAAAGAAAATACAAATTCAACAAAGCTCTTAACTGCCTTACAGTTTTTGTCGCATCAAACCGCGCGACACTACGACGGTATATAGAGATATAAAATTAGTAACAAACAGGGTGTTACCATATACGTGACACAATGATAGGAGTTATACCAATATAATTAAGATTTATAATAATACAAAAATATTGCGAGGAGAGGACTATAGCGGGTGTTTTGTCACAAAAGACACACAATAATGACACACTACAAAATTTTATTTATTGTCAAATGAGTCAGCGCGAGTGTTTTGACCTGATCTATCAAATATTCCTTTTTTACGAAAGCTGTCTTCCTATGCGACAAAACATGCGAAGTCCAAAAGTCCACTGTGTCGACTTTCGGTCATAGTAGACCTCAACCAGGTTTTCACTTTTCTCAACGGTTGAACCATTGTTATCCATTTTGATCGACAATGGTTGAACAAGTGAAATTAACAGAGCCCGCGTTCAGTTGCTGGATAAAGAATTCAGCTTCTTTCACCAATTCTGCTATTTCCATCTATTTCATCATTTTCACTGGAAAAGTCTATATTATAATAATCGGAAAAAAATTGGTGATATCAAGGAAATCTTCTATACTGTCCATATCTAACATATTAGACTATCACATACATGAATTCGCGACACCACTTCCCATACTGAAGAATCATTACAACCATTCCAATATGTCTGACCTTCCAGAAGGCTATTCCGGCTCCTATGGAGGCTCTTCTGGCGGCTGGCAAGGCGCCCTGAGCCTGGCAGACGGCGGCCATGACTTTGAGGGGGCGGCCAGCAGCTACGGCGGTCTCAACCTCAATGGCCACCAGACACAAGAGGGTGGCGGCGGCGGCGGCGACTACCACCGCGGGGTCAGCATAGTCGGCATCGGAGGCGGTGACCAGAAGAACACCGTCTTCGACCTCACTAGTCATGGTAAGCGAAATGCACGGTTTACACCGTCTTCTACCTTACTATGGTCACAGGATGCGCATGATTTTCAGTCTTCTACGTTACTATAGTCACGGTGAGCGCATGGTTTCCCAACATGAATATATACAGCACTCATGACATATAAGCACATTATTTTGAATACCTACATGAAATTTTTCACTATTTCTCAACCATAAGGCGCTCATCTGTGGCTCGATTCACTATAGAGGTTTTATATAATATGTGCTATAGATCGCTGCCGTTCACATGCTAAAGGGGATTGTTGGTTTGAACCCGGCTATCGGAAGATCATTTTTAATACCTAACATAAATGGTATTCTGTGCTCTGATAATATCTTGCTCATATCTTGGCACCCAAGCAGTGGTTCAAAATCCACTAGGAGCTATGTAGTCGTCTAGCACATCCCAACTACGCATGTACCTACAATTGCACATTCAGGCATATTATCCAAGTCTCTATTTTTTTATTCTATTTGTTTCCTGATCAATTCCTCACTCTCTTCCACTCGTAAACCTTGGATTTTTCAATATTCCGCTCTGAAAATTCGATTCTCATGCCTTTTTCTTTCAAAATATGTTCGAAATGAATTTCATTATCTGCAAGTTTTTCGTTTGTTGTTGGTTCTAAATTGGAATAAAGTTCTTTTCGATACTCGCTCAGTTTATAAATTGTGGGTTCGGCTCTTTCTCTCAATACGATCCTATTCTTCAACATCAAATCTTTCCTTCTGAAATGTACCTGATAAAAATGCGTTGAAAAATGTTCTATATCCTACCAAGAAATATGAATACCTCGCAAATTTTGTGGCCTGAACCTATATTTTTGTAGAATTACGTTATCCGATGGAAATTCGTATAGAGTGAATTGATTTCCCGTGTTCTCACAGTTGGAAACTGCACAAACTCGCATCTTTCTCCTAATTCTCTCAATTTGTCAAACCTTCGATATTTATGTCATGTACGTCCGTGTACTGTCAGTTCCCGCTTTTTCCATCAATTTATTTGTTGTGGTTATGTCTGATAGTCAGTGCTTGTCATAGTGTCCGTACTCTGATATACAGTTGAAACAGCAGTGTCAAGTACATCAAGGGACCCTACCTAAAACTAGGCCTAAAACAAGCACTGGATGGAAGATGCAAAGAGATATCTCAATGATCCATCGACGTTCTTCTTTTGTTTCAGCTGGCGCAGGCCACAAAGGCTCCTACGGCGGCAGCTTCGTCGCCTCTGAAAAGTACAGCGGCGGGTCCGGACACGACGGCGGCGCCCCTAGCGCCGCCTACGGCGTCTCCGAGGAGTACTCGGCGGGAGGCGGCGGCGCCGAGTTCAGCGACGTGCTAGGCGCCAGCGAGCAGATCGGAGGCGGCGGCCACAAGAACTACGAACCGCTGTCGGCGTGGTCGCTGGGGGCGGGACACGAAGGACTCTCGGCGTACCACAGTGACGGGGGGGCAGTAGGAGGGTACCATTATTAGGTTTTATTTGACCACACATTTTATGATATTTGTCTGTTTCCTTCGAGTAATTGATATTTCTTCACATTGGATTTGAAAAACTTGCTAATAATAAGTAGAAACAACAATTAAGTGAGTAAGATAAGAATAGATGGTGACTTATTCTGGTCAAAGGGAAATTAGTAGTGGTGCCCGCGAGAGTCTCGTTTTCGAGAGTCTTGCATGGTCTCGTCTCGTTTTCGAGACAAGACTCGAGACGAGACTTTCATTATTCTCGTCTCGAGTCTCGTGCAAGACTTCTCGTGTCTCGTGCGAGAGTCTTGCAGGTGAATATTTCTGCGAGCCGACTGCAGACTTGAGAATTTCATTCATTATACAACATATTATTATTTAGAAAGAATTCAGACTATTTAGCGCAGATCGACGAAACATTTCATACATAAATAGTTTAAAAACCCAATCTGAGCGTGCGGAACTCAACTGTGTCTGAAAAATTCAAAATATTATAATAATGAGCAGACCCAAGAGGAAAAGAATGAATCTGTCAGATTTAGAAAATGAATCAACCTCCGGTGATTTTTCTAGTGGAAGTGAGGACGATTACATACCAGACAATGATGTAACTGAACGTGAATGGTCGTCGTAGCAGTATCTGTGCGTCTCCTTCTGCTCGTGCACAAACACAAAACAGTGCTTACAAAAGCAAATTCAATCCTTATTTCAACATTGAATTGCAAGGGACAAATCGAGACAGGATGGCCAGAACATAAGATTATGCATGAAGAAATTGCGTACGAGACGAGAGACAAAACGGGACTTGAGGCTGCGAGACGAGACTCGAGACAAGACTTCATATTTCATCGGCGAGACGAGACGACACTTCATGAAAGTCTCATCTCGTTGGTCTCGAGTGAATCACTAGGAAATAGTAAATCTTTACGCATCTATTCTAAATAGCAGGATGTCTGTATATCTTCCTCTAAGATCTGAATTCTACTCAAAATCATACCTTTCACTTCTATTATTATCCAGTCGCTTGAAATTTCAAATTAATCCAATTATAATATCGTATACCTAGTCTACGAAATTTGGTGATCCTAATTTTGACTTTAATAATAATAAAATTATTATTATTATTTCATATGGGTATTTCTGAATTTGAAAAACAAAATATTGAACATGTATGGTTCTTAGTGGTAGATACATTTCACAGTAGTATTCAAAGACTGAAAGAAATGTACAGGGTGTTCAATTTGAATTTCAATATTTTCCGTTGAATTTGCTGGGAAAATATTTATCTCATCTATCTTATCTAAGTACCTATGTTTTCCTGTATCTCGGATGAATGAACAATTTTAACATGAAGAAAAATCAAACAAGCGCATTCTGAAACATCTATGTATAAATTCAAGACTATCTTTCAGTGAAAGAAAACAATAAGACTCTAAATATCATAATATATTAATGGTGATTATTTTTTGTTATTCTACATGTATAGATACCTAATTTATTTTTGTTACCTTATTTGAATAAACGCAATGGTGATTATTTTTTGGTTTTCTACATGTATAGATACCTAATTTATTTCTGTTACCTTTCTTGAATAATCGTTTTTGTTTTGAAGTGGAATAATAATAATTTCCTGGTCCATATTCCCAGCTTCAGATCAATATAATGCTTTTACTCAAGGCTAAACTAAAGATTTGACTTGGAAAATCCATATTGAAATGTGTCATCAGATATTCAATGTTTTGGTGATATGTGTCAATATTTTCGAGAATCCTATTGTATAAACTCACTGGGAAGAGATTGAAGAGACAGAGAGATGATTTCAAAATTCTTTGGTATATTTCTCAAGATAAAGCCTACAATAGACTCAACATGGCTTTTAAAAAACTCTCATTCGCATTGAAAACTATAGGCTTTATCTTGAGAAATAGAATTTTATCTCTCTGTCGTGTCAATGTATAACTCCATAGTGAGGCCTATATTGGAATATAATTCCCTTATATGGAAAGCTGTTTATGGTAAATATATCCTATGTTCAGAAAAAAAATTGTAGAAAATTTAAAACACAGATATTTTCATAGGAGTGGGTGATAATTTTTGTCGGTTACTCGACCGAGAAGATACATAATAATATATAATAATGAAGATGATGGAAAGCCCTAATTTCGAGTGACACCTACTGACCGGTTTCGAGCTTTTGGCTCTCATCAGTGCTGGGGTGTCCCAGATGGCTTTATCGTCATCTGGTGCGAACCTGACCCAACGTATACACAGACCAGCTTTTAAAACCCACGAGACATTCTGCCACTGCGAGATGGAATTTGTTTTGCATTGTTTCTCTACTTCTACCCTAGGTGGCGCTCGTGTCCAGACAACAAAATTCTCATTATAATGTTCACTTCAAGAAAAAAGTTGCTTTTGTGTAATTATAAGTGATAATGATACAGATTGTACCATAATTGGCGTAGAATACATAGTATCTAGATTCCACGAACGAAAAATAGAGACAAAAGTTCCCCTTGAGAGCCAACTCACACTTACCGGCATAAAAACCCAGCAAAGAAAAAACAAAATCAATCGCCCTGTAACTTATTCAATTCTTTCCGATTTTGGTGAAATTTTATATTCAATATTCGGAATATTATCCTGAATTCCAGTTTCCAAGAAAAACTGATGGCTTGATCATTATATAGGAAAAACAAAATTTACTCTTTCATCCTAACTATTTAACGCGCTGTGGCAAAAGTAAGTACTTAAACTTAGATTCATTATGTTTTAGATCGGAGTATGATTCTTTTTCAACACAGTGGTTCTTGATCCGAAAAATAATATAACACCGTGTTAGTTCATAATGCTCCTGTTACATTCAATTTTAATTTTGAAATTAATTCTACCAATTTATTCGAATGAAAAATGGTAACTCAATCAGTTGAAATTGAACCGGCCAAAAACATGTCTGATGTATGAAATGTAATTTTATAATATACACCTAGGTATACCACAAATGTGCTTTTCAATAATAATTCATAGTTGTTATAAGTTGATACGATAAAAACTGTATTTCATCAAGAATTAGAAAGTTGATCAAAAGTCCGCATTTGAGTTGAAATTATCGTTTCAAATAACCCTGTATATCTGTTCCATCCCACCACCCTGTGTAATTCATATATCTTCATTATTACTATTAGTAATAGATAAATACGTGTCTCGGGAATTGATAGGATCGACAGGTGACGCAACTGATTAGTCATTCGGGACGAGGTGATGAATCGTGTCAGTCTTATGTTAGAAGTCATCGCGAACGGTCTACTTAAAAGTGCTCGTATCAGTTTCAAGCAAAAATGCTTTGAAATTAGCTTTAATTAGACGTTACTGGCAAACCTATAGGTAGTAACAGATGAATCTGAAAATTTGATAGTATGTATAAATTAACATGATCTTTACGTTTCAAATATTTTTACCGAAATTCACTTCTACAAGAAACTAGCTGCAACTATGACTTTTCAAATGGAACACCCTGTATTTCATTGCATTTTTAGATTTTTCCTGAAGAGCTGATTGTGTTATATAGCCGAAAAAAAGAACTGTTTTAATTCTACAACTGTGTTTAATAAAAAGAGTGATAATACTGTGTCTTTCAAATACACCGTTCGGTATAGTGATTACATCGCGTTATTCTGTATTGTGTCGGTGTTTTGTGAAGTGTTTTGAGAATTGATATGTGGACTATAATATGCAGATTTCATAGTGGTGAGTTTTTTAATCTTTCCTAAACGTGATAGGCAACTTTGCGAGAATATAAATCGATTTCTTTCTCCAAGGAAGGAAGTGCTGAATGAATTCATTTTCAGCCCATTTATTCTTCCAGTGTAATTTCATACTCCTCCCCCCAAGGAGGAAAACATTTCTGGAAATTTGTTTAGTTACTATGGTAACGATACGAAATACAGACTTTTTTAATTGGTCGAAAATGTGATTTGTGACATTTTCAATGATAATTCAGAGATATAAGTTGAGACAAAAATAACTAGATTTAATCAGACATCATTATTATTATTAGTCATAGATGAACACTTGTTCGGGAATTGATAGGATAGAAAGGTGACGCAACTAATTTGTCATTCCCGTAAATCGAAATCGTGTCAGTCTTGTATTAGATGTCATCGCCTACGGTCGGTCTAATTAATGTGCTCGTATCAGTTTCAAGCAAGAATCTAATGCATATCGCGAAATAGTATACAGGGTTTTTCGCGATGAGCGTAAATTGGAAGTTTCTGGGGAACCAAGCAACTGATGAATCTGAAAATCTTATGGTATGTAAAAAATGGCATAAGCCACACGCCTAAAATATTTTGAACAATGTGGCGCTGCCGCTTCTACTAGAAAGTACCAATAACTATGATTTTTCAGATGAATAACCCTGTATTTCATTGCATTTTTAAATTCTCCCTGGAGTGCTGATATCATCAATCTATCACACTAAACTATTGTGGTCTAGCCGGCACGATTACAGAAATAAAGGGTGTTCTAATTCGAGATTTTTCAATTTCAGGACTTTTTGTGTCGAAACTATACACTATTGGTAGTCAAAACGGTTTCCATGTCCCTATCATTCAGAATTCTGATCATTCTGTATCTGTTTCAATGAAATGTCAGTTAATAGTGAATCAAAAGTTGAGATGGCGGCTTCGACGAATACCGAGACGAATACTGATTTTCGAGAAAGAAGAATCCTAAAGTTGAAAAATCTCGATTTTGACCACCCTATAATTCTGTAATCATCCCCACTAGACCCCCAAGTATGATACATTGATGAATTCAGCTCTTCAGAGAGAATCTGTAAATACAATGAAATAAAAGGTGTTCCATTTGAAGAATTAAAGTTGCTGTTTCTTTCTAATAGAATCATCAACGCCATATCGTTCAGAATATACCATCAAACTTTCACATTCATCTGTTACTTGGTTTGCCAGAATCTTATATTTAGGGCTCATCGTGAAAAACCTGTATCGTTTAACCAGCACGAAAATTAGCATTCTGTGCGAGTTATACACTATACTTTTTCTACGGCTGTATCAGATAACATTTTGACAGATGATATTTTTTAGTTCTTCGGCTTGTAGCCATCTGATTTTCTCTAAGTAATGCTCATTTATTAGACAGAGCTGTCATTGATTGAAATTCGACTTTTCATGGGAGATGAAATTGTGTGAAATATATGGCACAAACTCGAGCACAAAGGAGTCATTGTGATATCAGATACTGAAATGAAATTGATGACATACAAAGTACCTCATTAAAACAATGGCAATTAAGAAGT